GCATCTCTAAAATGTCCACAGGTAGAAAAGGGAACTGAGTACGAGTAAATGAGTATCCATTGCTAGTCCAGGCACACGTCCTCGCGCTCCACCAGCACAGTATTTGAATCGACTAATCGCCTCCCCCCTACAACGTGGTTTTCCAAGATACTTTGAGTGCCAATTCAACTTCTCCACTCTTTTAGATTGGTGGTACCAGTTCCATTTTAAGGCGCTTTACGGATTCGTCTAGCTTTGTTTGGCTTTGAGCAGTGCTGAAGAAAGGACCTCGTTTTCCCGCCCTGAGTAGGTGCTGCACCCTTTTAGTCGCGTGTTGGGATTCCTTCTACCCCGCGGCATTTGAAGTGTTGAATGCTTTCAAATGTGGTTGAGAGTGCACTCACCTTTCAAGTGTGCGTGGTTACCGAGTTTGGCTACTAAGTCAGCACACTGCTCTTCAAACACAACCATCAAGCAGATTTTAATCATGCCGGCATTGACGGCCAGGTAAAAGTGTAGGAGTCGCCCACGCACAGATGGTGACAAATCAGGCATTCCAACAGAGTCTAGTCAAGTGCTCGGCATCACCTCACATTCATGAGGTTTTTTTCTCCAATTTCGCACTGCTTTGCTATGGAGTTGTCGTCTAATGGGGATGCTTAGAGTTGTTTCGCGGTCCGGTGGTGACGTCGGCAAGTATCAACGTAACCGCCTAGGCAAGGGTAGACTGAGAACCCTTCAATGAGATCTTTTTTTACCCTTCCCATGGTCAGGTGCTGAGCGTGGTGGTGTCGTGCGACAGTGAAATTGTTGTTTCCGGCAGTTGGGATGGATCAATTCGTGTTTGGCGCATGAAGGATGGCTCGCAAATGTGCATCTTTACCTCCAACATCGAGGTGCTGCAGGTGAAGCTCTCGCGTGACAAACGTGCAATTGTGGGCTTGGGAGAACGCAATGGGCATCGCAAACTCATCATGATGCAGATTGTGCGCTCACGAACCTGTGCTCCCGCCGTCTACACTCGGATGGCCTCACCGGGTGGTGGCGGCGGTGGTCTTTCGCCTGCTTCGCCTCAGGCGCCCCTTCCGGAGGATCTACTCCCCTAATCCCCTCCCTCTCTCTCTCTCTCTATAGGATCTTCCTGTTCACTTTTATCCCTACCTCCACTCCCATGCATGTGACCTAGGCCCTTCCTCGAGCTTTTCGTTTGATCTTGACTCCCTCCTTCCTGACTTTGTTTGATAACCCATCCTACGCGAGATAACTGAACACCCATTCGCCTCCCACTCGGTCTAGCTCTTTTTAATGAGACGATCATACGCCCTACACGAGATAGATATGTCCTGTTTGCTTTTTCCTCCTTCCTCCTCTCCCCTCCTCCCTTCCATTTCAGTCCTTCTTTTCGTGGGTTTTTGGACGCCAATATATCCTAAGGAATACCTAATCGACTGACCGATTGGATGAATGTGGTCAAAACTGTGCGATACACAACACGATGTATGAATGCATACAACACCTACATGGACATACTCTACTTTCGTTTGATCACCGACTTGTGCCTCGTCTTTGGGAAGGGGATGGAGGTGCTGGCTATGTAGCCGGGGAAAAAGGGGTGAGGGGTGGAATCAAATCAGACTAAGAGTCACTTTTGTCAGCAAGGGAAGTTACTGATGACGAGGTGGGAGACGCGTTCCTTTGGGACAGTTCCACTTGTACTGCACTTTCTCATGTCCACGGCGGAGTCATCGTGCTAAGCGCGTGATAAAAGGAGGAACGTCACAAAAACAGTAGTTTAGGATTCGACTCGATAGTGTTCTACAAAAGCAGCAATGCGAAATGTTTTTTGTGTAGATGAAGTGATTTCGTCCTTCGGCGCTTTTGACTGCAGAATATCTTGGCAGAGCCTAAAACTTTCAATTTTGGAGACTTCCAATTCCGTGGGAGCACAAAGTTGCTCAAAAGGAAACACCAACTTGGTGAGTGTGCTTTAACTGAAGGCCTCTTGTCCTGAACCCTCAGAAGGAAGGTCCAAGACACACCTGAGGGAGAACTAGATGTCTTCCTCTAACTTTGCCACCCTACAGACATCATTGTACTCACCATGTTGTCTAAATTAACATTTTTGGTTCGAAAATTTGCCCTTTGCTCATCAACAACAAATAAGTACAACTAAAGTGTTGTCAAGGCTCAAAATTTGATCCTGCTCTGCTTAGTTCCATTGACTTACAAATGTTGGCAGAAGGAGA